TTTAACACAAGTAAAACTCTTAATCGCTCTACGAATCATTTTCCCAACCGATTACCTTTAAATACATCACAGATCCATGACAATAGAACGACGTCAATTATTTTTTATTGTCAAAACAAATTTTCCCTTTAAACCAAAGCACAAAAGGCATGCGTAGAGAAAGTTATTTGATAAAAATCATTATCGGTTCCAATCGCATAACTAAAAATTAGCACAGCGGAAGCCGTTCATTGAAATAGAATCGTACGATATCGGAAAATATTGTTTACCTCCAAAGTTAAGTTAACTAATAGTTTAATACGCAGGGTAATAAACACACTTTAGCATATATTTACATTAGGTTCTCTCAACTGCGTGGGAAATCCAGTTAATTGATTTCATAGTAAAAATACACGATTCTAATAATATTCGCAGGTGTACGACAGTGATGTAGTCAGTGGGGTTAAAAAAAATAGGTCACAACTCTAGAACACAAAGAATATAAAATACAAATATCTGCTTTTTTACTATGAAATCAAACTCTTTCGTAGTAAACTTACAGAATTCTAATAATATTAGCAGGTGTACGACAGTGATGTAGCCAGTTGGGTTGCAAAGAATAGGTGTCCACTTCAGAACACAAGCAATATTAAAGGCAATTGTAATTTCATTATATATTTGCTTTCTTAAAATGAGATCAAAATCTTCCGTAGACTAGTAGAGAAAATAATAAATTATTATTAACAGTTTTAATTTTAGTATAAACATTTTTCCAAATGATATTAAACTCTTCCATTGACTGCTAGAGAAAACAACAAATTATTGATTACTAAGAACGTCAATTGTTTGATACTTTAAATTTTTAATGAAAGAACTTTATAGTATATACTTATAAACTCCTTATGTAAGCAGCAAAATAGCACCTTTATTGACATTCGAAACTTCAAAACTAATAATTCCTGCTCTGAAAGACAAGCTTTTCTGTTTGACATCTTTTTTCCATTAAATTTTTTAGTTCCATTTTCCCTAACCATTAAATTAGGATTACTGGAGGCATTTATTTAAAATAAATTACACTGCATCCCTATTTAACAAAATCCTAGCTAAGGCACTGGTGCATAAATTTATACTAAGTCGTATCTTATAGTTATCTAAGGTAATATAGACAACACTCTCTTTATAAGAACCATGTTTGTAAAACAATTTCTTCATTTATATAAGCGTGTGCAGATAATATTTTATTAATAAATGGTATTATTATAGTTGAGAATTTATTTAGAAAGGAACGGGAAATCGAGAATGGGACTAAGGTGATTGTAATGTTATAAGTACTTTTTTGTGTAACTTTTACACTGTTTTATGAAGCCTCACCCATCCATGTTTTTGACTATTTCCATGACTGATTTTTTATAAAATTAAAATTTATCATAAATAATCATTAGTATAACTGGATCTGATAGGCCTAGAATCAAGTCTGACTCTCATACAAAGTTTAGTGATTAAATTTGTTATTGTAAATTAAATTCTAGTATGTAAATTATAATGAAGAGAATTTTATATACAAAAAATTCTTCCTAGTTTTTTTATTAAAATAGCATTCGTAATTTCTGTTACAATTTTAATATAAAGAAAAAAGCTTGATAGATAATGCACACTATATTCCATAACAAATCGATTGCAGAAAACTTGTGACTTTCGTAACCAATAGCCATCGCGTTTATATCGTTAGATTAAAGTTATATTTTTTCTTATACAAATAATAAGAATAAGTAAAAGTTGATAAAGATAATTAAAATAATTATTTATTAATTTAAATTAAATTGTATGATATTCGAAACTTTTTTATTATTTGACTAATCTGATATATAAACATAGCTTTCATATCACTCTGTTCTGATACATATTCTCCAGAGATTGCAATACTTTATTATATACCTAAGCACAGATCCAATAGCACCCCAATATGATGTCAAGAGCAATTTCTTTGAGTTTGAATTTTTTAGTATAGTTACCAATCTCCGATAATATGCAGACGGACACTCCAAATCTTTTAAAGTTTAGAAATGTAAGGAAAAAATTTTAAAACAATAATAGCTGTGTTTCAGCAAACATGATCCGCTCAATGATCTGAATCATCTTTGCTGAAACGATACGGATCACGTTTGAAAATAATTGGCAACGCATGAAATATGCCAGTTGGGTTTGTGTACAAAATTTTTTGATTTATGTGAATAATTTTGGCGCTAAAAAAATAAGTGAGAAAATTTTGAATACAAAAAATCTAAAACTTGGAAAATAAATAAAATCTGTTGAAATGTCTGAAGTATGAAATGTAAGTTTTTATTTAGTATTTACTTAAAAACTTAAATTTAATTCTATAGTAAATAAATGGAAATTGCAGATTTTATTAGAATTATCGAGCAAAACTGACTCCTCCATTTTCTTTTTAAACACTAGTCCAAGTGTATTAAGGTCAAGGGATGAAGTGCATCAGCATGCATATAGTGGAAATTTTATGGAAACGATCAATAATTGTTCCGTTAAAGATTATTTGATTGATATTTGCGCATAAAAAATACAATTGCTATATATTAATTATGATTCATATTTTAATAGATTTGTTAATAAAATCCAATTAGCAAATACAAAATAACCGTGGAGGTCACAATTGAACTAGAGCAATGAAGGAAATTTACATATTTTTGTGGTATATGGCAAATATGAATACTTTTTGCGAATTTGGTATTTGTTTTGGCATACCAAGAGCTTCTGTATGGAGGATAATTGAAAGAACTAGTGTTTAGCTTATATCAATTGGACACTAATTTATTAAATACGCACTTGTTAATAATGCAAAAGTGGAAACTTCAAAAAAAATCCCGTTCGTAATTGGTTGCATAGACAGTACACATGTAAAAATAAATGCACCACACCATAGCAAATAGGCTTATTTCAAAAGAAAGCATGACTATAGCTTAATCTTGCAGATAGTTTGCGATGAAAATGGTTTTTTTATAAACGTTTATGTTGGAGAGCCTGGATCCTTATGTATTGTTCTGTTTTAATTAAATAAATGTATTCAACTTAATTTCATTTCATTTCAAATTAATTGATTTTAATAAATTATCAAACAACACTTTTTCAATAATAATAAAACGTAAATAAATAAGGTAATAATTTTAATTATAGTAATAGTTAAAACATTATTTTAAACAAAGAAATAAATAATAACGACATATTAAATAAATAAGTACATAAAATAAATAATAAATAAATAAAATCAATAATAAATAAATATAAATGTAGATTTGTTTATAATTTTACTGCACCGTTGCATCGCATTGCCAACCTCATTTGCATTAAAATACGTTCCACTTTTATCTTTTACACACATTCCACATTGAACCAGAAAGTGAACCAGATCAATTGCTGGTTCACCCCATTGTTTTTGTTTTGCATGTAAAATTGAGCGGATCATGTTTGCTGAAACACAGCTAATATCTCAAAATCGACATAATATATCAAAATTATCTGCACCTCATCTGATATAGCTGCCTTATGTAGTTACACACATGATTAAATGTATATAAATATGCAAATTAATATTAGATATATATATAGTAATAATAAATAGAAATAATATTCAATTTCTTAGAAGTATATATATATATTTAAATGTAGACGGCGACTATCTCCATACATTGATGCCCGCGTCATAAATCCCACTGGTGTTTCACCGTTAACAAGGATAGTGAACTGGAAATGTTTTTCAAAAACAGTTGAACCATCCCAAGTTCAACCAAAACAAGAACTTTGTATACTTTGTATATCACTCTCTTTATAGAAACAGATAAAATTTGTAGTTCTTGAGACTTACAATCCACAATGTTTATGATTTTATAATTTTGTTATCAACTTTTAGGATGAATATTGTTTAATTTAAACATTTCTTGCAGTATATATATTATGTTCCACATATAGACCATAAATTAGAACTTAAAAACATAATAATATAAGATTCTTAATCATGTTTGTAGAAATATATCTATACTACGTAAATTAGGATATTGAAAAAACTACTCAAAAAAATATAGTTTACAAGATCGGACACATGACAGTGTCGATCGATTACTTCGTTTTTAAATCACGTTTAAAATTCATCTGTCTATTATCTACTTTTCATCTTCCATTCATATAGAAAACATCTCTTTATAAGATTTTATGCTATTAGTTCTTTAAGATAGCTAAAAAATCGTGGACATACACTGTCTACTTGTGTGTCAAGATATAGAAATGGACAATAGTCAAAAAAACATAATTAAATTGATATTATATTAATTCCTTAGACATGATATATACAAATCATATATAATGCTCATACTATCCATTTCCTTACGTTTTCTTAACTAGTTTTCTTTATAATATAGATTTTACCATAAGATCTATTAACTTAATTAATGAAATATATAGTCTAATAGCTTTACATCAATTTTAAAACCATAATGCTATTTATATAATATATGACTAAACATTATGAATAGTTAAGAAGATGTTAATCTTCAATGTAAATATTTAGAATAAACCCAGTTTTCAATCCTTATGAAGATTCCCATCACTCTATACAATTTTATAAACGCAAAAACCGAGTTGATTCTATTACGAAACCAACAGGGGTTTTAATATAAAGACCACCATACAGTTATGGTGGTTTTGTCATGAATTCTACATGAAGAAATACCACATTTAGAATACGATAAAGGGATTTGTTATCGCCTCATATATTTTTTACAGTTAAGTATACTGTAACAAATTAAAGTAAATCTTGGAATGAAAGTTGGTACCTCTTAAACCCGCATATTAGTGATCTAAAGAAATTAACACATAGAATAAAAGCAATATAGAAACAATTCAGAATCTTTTATGAAGAACAATGCTTTATTGTGATTTTTATCAAACAATTAGGAACTAGAAATATCGGAAGTGGAACGTTGGTAAGTTAATATTTAACTTTACGACAAACACAGTTTCAACATTATTATTATTACCATATATATTTTTGTTATTATAAATCTAATTAACAAAAAATTTCTTAATATCTCAACATTATTCAAATCACAATTCTGTTATATGATTAAAAAATTTTGTTTAAAATAATTGTCAAGATTATATAAAAATTAATTAACCAAACAGAACTTTGGAAATTTGTTAATCCACCATCATTACCACCCGGTTTAGTACCATTTCCTGTATTATTCGCTCTATTCCATTTATTGACATTAGATTCAATCCATGAATAGTAATGATCGACATCAGTATAAACACCTGGTAATTTTGGTTGTGCACAACCTATACCCCAAGAAACAACACCAGCTAAAAGTTTATTACAAACTAATGGACCACCAGAATCTCCACCGCAAGCATCTTTTTCACCTTGCTCTAAATAACCGGCACATATCATGCCTTCACGAATGAGTCCATCGGCAAAATCTGTTTTATTTTGACAATCTCCAACATCGATAATGGGTACATCTACTGTCATTAGATTATCTGATAAATAACCCTAAATATAAATTTATTTATTATAAATAACTTATATATTTTAAATATTAGTTTTTAAGCTGTATGAAATTACTTACATCTTCGGTTTGTCCCCAACCAGTAACTTGACAAATGGTGCCATTCTTAACAGGTTCGTGATTGAGCGTAATTGGTTTAATATTCGATTGGTTCGTTGGTACTGAACCATTTAATAGCACTAAAGCTATATCCTTTTCATAAGTGCTTAAATTGAATATATCCACTTGGTACAGAAGTTCTTTGACTTCAAATGTAAGAGTATTATTCTTTTCAAAACGATCTAGATTTCCCATTACGACAATAAAGTCTGAGGCAGGTAAAAATGTGCCATTATAAGCAACTTGGCTAAAATTATTAAATTTAAAATTATATGGTTTTTAAAATATTTTTAAAAAATAATTATATGTGCAAATAATATATATAAAGATAGTTTTTAATTATTTGAAATTAAAATTTTATTTGTATAAATACTTTTTCAACAATCTGTCTATGACGTCTATTTTATGTGTGATATCTGATATTGTGATAATATATGTACGAAATGTGATCAAAGTCAAAAAAAAATTTAATATAGCAATAATTATCAAATATCTATAAGATAAACCTTTTTTCAATATTAATTTTGTTATCATATTTAATTATATACACTGAGATACTTATAACAAAATAATTGTTTTTGAAGGTATGGCATTTTATTGTGTCATTATAAACACCTTGACTATTGACCCAAAATTCATTCGTCTACTTAATATAAAGTTCATTCATAAATAAAGACTGAAAGTTAAATAAAGACTTTACAACAGTAATAAAAATAATTACAAAGGAACCGATAAAAATCTGTCTAGAAATGCTAACAGATATATTTTTAAGCAGGGTGTCCCCTGATGATAACATATCATTAAATTTTATAATTAATTTTTTATTATACACTTCAGTGGAATGTCACTGATACAATGTCACTATGCTAAATGTGTCATATCGGTTGTTTTTGTTTTATTGCTCTATTTATAAATGGTTAATCGAACACAGATTTCTTAAATATTATTAACATTCTATTAGCAAAAAATTCACTCTATAAAAAAAACTTACTCTACAAAACAATGCGCCGCGGATAGTACTACATTATCTGCGATTAGTGAACCACCACATATATGTCCAGTACCAAAGAAGTAACCATCATTTAACTTACGACGTATGGAAACTTGATGTCTGGTGTCATTTAAAGTCGCCAATGTACCATTTATGATTCTTCCATCAATATTTTGTAAATATGCGCCATATCCTATATTATTCGGAGCACACACTACACAATAGAGCTATATTAATATCACACAATACACAAAAATCTCTGAACTTTTACTTACAAATAGTAGAAGTATTTAAAGCTAGGAAGAATAACACCAATGAAAGTCTAAGAAAAGACATATTAAATTTTTTCTTAATTGAAAACGTAACTTTTCAAGACGTCTTTCACCTTTGAAATTTAGCTACGTATTAAAAGTGGTTCCAATTTTTGTGTGGCTTTGTCAAAATTCTTTTATTGTATATCAAAATTAATCTATTTTTAATATCAATGAAGATATGCATGAATACAGTATAGAAATCGAGGGTCATAAATTATTTAATCTAATCAGGAGCAATGAAGGAAACGACGCTGTTATAGAAGACAATATATTTTTTTTTTTATTATTATGAATTAAAATATATTTCGAATGGATTGAGATGTTTAAAAATATTTGATATTTAATAAATATAAAAAAATAAAAAAAAATAAAAAATACGGTAGGGGACTTACTGTAAATCCCCTATTACTATTTCATTACTGGACATAATAAAAACAAGTTTTTTATTACTCTATTTTTAGATTATTAAATTCTTTAAATAAGTCAATCATATTTATTGAACTAATCGAAATAATGCTTTAAGTCAGTTAAGCAAGAAAGTACCGAGGCAACCATAATAGGTAGGAGAATCGATCATTTTATTTACGGGGAAGCATAAACTGATCTGGCCTCAAAAAAAGACTTAAATATTAAAAACCCAGTGACTTACTGCTTAAACAGATAACAGGGTAAAATACGTGCGTGCAATTCACAAAATCAAAATACACGATACTATAGGAGCACAAAAAAGAAGAACGATAAAAAAAAACGATGATGACTTTTACCTGACAATAGCTTTTTTTTTGTTTTCGTTGTGCGAAGAAGACGGTTAAAAATGCCTAATGCATCGTCACTATGTCGTAACAATAGTGGTATGTCCGATGTACGGTCTAAAAACAATCCCCTCGCATGCCAGACCGTTTCCATTCTAGAACTTTATTCTACGCACTTCAAGGTAAGAGACCGTACCTGATTCTGATTATCCATTGATAATTGTCATCGTTATCCATTGATAGAAAATGGATATTTTTTAATTAATATTTGCTCTCACAGACCTCTAAGCTATAGAACAGTAATACTAGCACATCGCAATTATTTCCTGGTTTTTTTCCGTACTATAATAATAATGTTTCCTGGTGTCCACGAAAAAGACACCTGAGTGCCTTTTATGCCACTGCTCACGCCTATACAAATCCAGATTTAAATACCACTTATTATTTACACTAACTTCATAAATCTATAGCCCAGAAATCGGCGATGTGGTTGAGTTTATTAATACTTATGGTTATTTATGAAACACCCAATCTCCTCTCCAAATTTTATAGGAAAATTACAGACTAATTGAAGTAGATCAATCTTTTTCTGCTTTACCCAATTTAGCACAGAATTATTTCTTTTCAAAAAAAATTAATTAAATGTAATTTTAAATAATATAACAATATTAATTTTCAATTAAATGTGTATATCTCTTTCATAAAAGTCTTGGTAATAGCACTGAACAAAAATCCTTCAACTTCAAATACTATCTCATGTACGTATATACAATATATTATTATTATATAAATATAATATATATCATATATTACGAGTATATCAGTAGATTACTTTTCATTAGTAATACATTTATACTGCTGTGTTAAGTAAGTGTATTTAATAGAAAACTTATATTATATAGCCGGAGTTTGAAATCCGTTCCTGCCTTTACTGATAACGAAATCATATTTTAAAAATGGTAGCAACGTTAAAGCGTTATGAAAACTGATTTATGAAGCCACTTAAGGGTTAAGCATTAAATCCTATTGTTAAACTTAGTAAATCAAAATTATCTTTTATAGCACATCGTTAATAATCTTATTTAAATCGGAAGTAGGTACGTTTTGATTATATATGTCAATCAAAATTAAACGTGTCTATCTTGTCTTATGAAGGAAGAGTTGTACATATATAGAGAAAATCAAATTTTTGATATTTTAATTCTATAAACTAAGGATATTCGACTCATAATTATATTATGTAAATTATGACATATGAAAACAAAAAATATTTCCTTTAAAGTGCTTTTTAGAAACTTTTAGTTTCAAATATCAAATTCTTAATCCCATGAGATTTTTTTAGAAATTTTATTATAATATCAAGTCTTAACATTTCAATACTTCTTGTCGACTTTAGCTGAACACTTTAGATCTAGAAAGGAAATTTGAAGAACACTTTAACCTTCAGTATTATTTGACCAGTGTTCTTCCTATTAGCTGCACTACATCAGTGTGTCTTAAAACGAAGGCCCCCAAATAATTTGCATCTTTCTTATATCTAATAATGCCCTGCACTAATGCACAAACGGAATTGACTCCTGGGAATGTAAACCCTTACGGCAGAGGCAATGAAACGCTGTAAAGTATATAAGTTTCATACTTCTATTTTTTGACGACCCAAGGCTTAGAGATCTACTCTCAAGCCAGAAAAGGACAAAATAGACCCGACGACCGCAATGCCACATTCCCTTAACAATAATTATTATATATCAAATAATATAAATAAAAACAATTCAGTGATAAATTTTATTCTTAACACAATGAGAGGCCATCAAGAAATTTAAAAAGTCTATTCCTGTAAGCTAATAATAATTAGCTAATAATAAAATATATATCTCTATTTCTTAAAAATTAATAAAAATTTTACAATGTAATTTAGTAAAAACAGTAATTCAAACAGTTTTCCAAATTTTTTATTTATATAAAGTTTATTTGCAACTTTTATTCCCTTGTTAGTATATAGACTCACATATTCCAACTATATATACAAAAAACTATATATTTATTCAATTACAAAAATAAGAAACATAATTATATAGTATAGGCTCAAATTAGCTAATAAATTTTTGACCCCACTTACTGTCTCATAATCTATTGTTTCGCCTATATGAGCTGTATAATTAGGCCACACATTCATTTTTTCATTTATCCAATGAAAATAAGTAGCAACATTTATGTAAACACCTGGATAACCAGGTTCTGCACAACCTGAACCAAATGAAACCACACCAGTTAGTTTATTATCACAAACTAAAGGTCCACCAGAATCACCAAAGCAAGCATCTCGTTCACCATTCATGTAACCAGCACAGATCATGTCTTCACGTATTAAGGGACCGTAATTGAGAGAACAAAGGTTTCGATCAATAATTTCTACTTCTACACCCATTAACTGTGACGCATAAGAACCCTAAATCACATACATTATATGTAATAAACACAAATACTATATGTATTTAATTCTACCGTTTCTGTTTTACCCCAACCAGTGACTATGCAATTAATACCGTCCAATAAATTGCTTTGTTCATTTAACGCTATGGGTTGTACAAGTTTGTCATTTACTGGAACCTCTCGATCTATATACAAAATAGCTATATCTGCTTCATAAGTGGTGTCATTAAAATTTTCATGTACAGTGAAGTTAGTGACATTGTAAATAAGTGTATTTTGGTTTTGCTGATATTTATTTAAATTACCCATAACTACCAAAAAAACTGCTGCATCTCGCAAATTTTTGTTGGAACTGTAAGAATAAATTCATATATATGATTCTATGGTTATGTATCTAACATATTTTGAAAGAACTTACTCCAACATACAATGTGCTGCTGTAAGTATAGCTTTTGTACTGATTAATGTTCCACCACATATATGGCCGGCACCGAAAAACCAGTCATTAAATTTCAAACGTAAGGAAACTTGGTACTTTGTTCCAGACCAATTAACTTCAGTGCCATTAATAATTTTTGTTTGGGCAAATTGGGCTAAATTTCAAAAGAAAATATAAAGAATATATATTTTTTGAATGAATATATTATTTTAGGTATAATATCAGGAATCATACATTTTCTACTTAAATAATGATCTTGATCGGTTAGTATTAAAAGTTGCTATTACTTACTTTTACCATAACAATTCTGTTGCATATAAAGTATAAATACTATTAACATTTTCACCAGTAACATTTTTCTAGTTCAAAATGTTTAATACTCTACTCCACTAGTTCTCTAAAGGTACTATTTGAATATATCGGATGTCAAATTGAATTTGATAAGAAAAACTTTTTTATTATCATCATAAGTATCTCAGATGTTCTAATTAATTAAAAATTTTAGCACTTTAGGCTTTCGTAAATATCATTTGTATACTAATACTTTAGATACTATTTTTATCGGTTTCATCATTTGTATTTAACTTCAATATACGTCATCAATTAAAAAAAAGACATATATTCATCAAAAACAAAAGTAGTACTCTTAATATATTATTGATATGATTATGAGTAGTAGAACATACTATATCTCGCGACGCAGAATGTCTGATGTGGTAACCCCAGCAAGCATCTTTGACGGTCTTGTTTTGTTTCGTATGTTTACAGGTGAGCAAGGTGAGTATTTACCCATAAATGAAGTTGGAATGACTTTCATTTTCCTTTGCAAAGTCACATATATATGTATATAGCAAACAAATTGTATGTGTTAATAATATCAAACTTTCTTTCAATGTATAATAATATAATATATTAAAATACGTTGGGAGAGCGTTACATACCTCTCTATCTGTTGTTGTATAACCATTATGCATCTGACCTGATCTGATCGATGACTACTAGTAACATATAAAAAAAAACTAAAAAGTTCTAGACTCGGCGATTTAAGTATATAACTAAGCACTACCTTGGGCAAAAGTTATAACCAATGAAGAACTCTACCGAAAACTCAACATCGAACCAATAGTAAACTTCATAAAAAGACAAATAGCGCTAGATTGACCAGACTCTTCGTAAAAATTCAACCAAAATATATCAAAAAGCACTGGAGTGGAATCCAAAAAGTAGACTAAAAAGAGAATAGACAAAAAAAATCATGGAGACGAGCGCTGCATGCCGGTACTTGCGCATCAGTGTAATCATGAAACGAACTAAAAGTGATCGCAAACAATCGTACAAGATGAAAATGCGTCCCTTATGCCCTATACTCTTCAAGGAGATAAAGGAGCTAAAACATATTTTGTAAACAGATCTGTATCGAAAACGTATACATATTTACATATTCTACAATATTTTTAGACAAATATAAAACAAAAGCATTTCAAGTGTAGATCATCACTTCAATATAATAATATGAATGTAATATCCTATCCTAAAATGTAATGAATGTAATTTCCTAAAGATCAATTAAATTAATAAGTTTAGTGGTTATGACTTTTGATTCACAAATAAAAAATATTTTTTTAAATTCAAAATCTGTGCGAATTCAAATCAATTAACTAATTGAAACTATTTTATTAATATACTCGTATTTATTAGTTAAAAAAGTACAAACTTTTATTATCCAACGTTTCCTAAATAACAAATTCTATAAAATTTATGAAAATAACTCATATTAAATACTTTTCAATCATTTTTTAATAAATAACTTAAACTAAAAACGATACTCAAACTGAGTAATACCAAAACATTTGATTCACTAAAGCCAGCTGCACCATCACCGTATTTAGTATAATCCAAACTGGCATTAGTTTGCTTTATCCAATTATAGAATTCAGATACGTTTGTATAAGTGTCCGGATATCCCAATTCTCCACAATTTGGCTTTGATACAATACCCGTCAAAAGATTATTACAAACAAGTGGATCACCAATATCTCCGGCGCAGGCACCAACACCGCCAGGACTATAACCAGCGCAAAATATGCCATAGGTGCCATAAGTACTAATTTTAGCGCATTCTTCCTTAGTACTAATACTCACATATGCAGCTTTTAAATAATAACTAATTTCTTGCTGTAAACAAAATATAATATATCAATATAAATATATATCAAAGATTTTTATAATTTAGAAAACAATACCAACCTTATCGTTTATACCCCAGCCAAATACCGTACACTGTGTATTCGAAGGAGTCTCCTGAGTTTGTAGGCTTATTGCACGTATAACTGGATGTGACCATGATATTAAGCCATTCAGGAAGACCAAAGCTATATCATTTTGTAATTCAGTAATTGTAAATTTTTCGTGTGGCAATATTTTCTGAATATCTAATATAGTTGTGTATAAATCCTGCTGCATTAACATTATAGATCCTAACATTACATTGAATTCTTTGACTGGGCGATATGCTAAGGTGACAGAACTTGAACTGAAATTAATTTAAAACAATTATATTAATCCGTCTCCTATGAAAAGAATGACTACTTACTTTACAAAACAATGTGCTGCTGTGATGACTACTCTTTGGGTTATTAGAGCTCCACCGCATAAGTGGGAGAATTGATTTGATGTGGTATTACGGCGGATTGATACAATAAAGGGTGCTTTTGTTAACTCCACTGTTGAACCTCCTGTAAGTCTGCTTTGTTTTTCGTTTGTTAATGCATCTGTTATATAAATTTAATAAAAATTTAATAAAAAAAATTAATTTCTATATAAGAAATAATTTATTTTATGACATACCATATATATGTATAAGTTTTCATTATTATATGTATAATCTAAATTAATTTATATACAAAAACCATACAGAATAATTTTGTATTTTATAGCATATGAGTTAAGGTTTCTTATCCAACAATTATAAATTTCTGCTTATGATTCACCTTTCTTATAATAAATGTTTCATATTTCCTATTGATTATATAAAAATAAAATAAAGAATAACTTACAGGAATTCCCCTTCACAGTTTCAATATTATTCAAACATAACACGGCCAGAAGAATAAAAATATATTTATATGAAAATATGTATTTCATTTTTTATTTATTTTAATATTAGTTGATAATAATAATATATAATTTTTTAAATAATATTAAACTATTGTCTTCACTAAACTGAATAGTAACAAAGTCAACTCTAAACAAACTCAATCCATACAAATTCGACAAATGTTAGCATTATCTAATCATGATCGAAACTTATCGAACCAGTACACATGGAAGCAATAAAACGATAATATTAGATAGTAATAATCGGTAAGTCACCATAATTTTACTTGTTAAAAAAAATCATTAGTTTGAAAATAGTTAACAGGTGATTTCTTACAAGTTTAATTATTACGATCCGTCAAAAAATATGCAATAAAAACTTATTATTAATAAAAAATACTACGAGTACAAATAAAAAATTTCTTAAATATAATGAATATGGAGTAAATAGCAAATATATCTCAATAAAATTTAATATAAAGTCTGAATTAAATCAACATTTTCCTGTGAGTTTTCTAATTTTATTTAGTGATGTCATAAATTACTACTCACCAAGAGACAATAAGTAGCACTATATTTATACCTGCAGTGATTTTCACGTGTTACAAGCTTCTTAAGTTACTTACAGGTCTTTAATGGGTTCCGGCTCACAGGAGAATTTGAGAAAATGAACAACCTGTGATGAGTATCCCAGAACTACATCAAAAACTGCTATTATAAGCCCTCAACCCATTTGTTAAACTGAGTCAGTACAAAACAAATAATCAAGGAGAGGGGGGCAATCGTTTGCGGTTGATGTACTGGAAAGATTTCCCAGGGCTTAGACAAAGCAAAGCACTGATCAAACTGTACTCGTACAAAAATATTCTTAAAATCTCAAAAGGTAATTTAAGGTTGCTAACAGATTTCAGTACGGATCATTATGATTTGAAATATCACCTACATAAAATTCGATTATCTCCTAATTCGAAATGCAGATTATGCCTCAAAGATAAGGAGATAACTATGCATATTCTTTGTGATTGTCTAGCTACGCACAGACAAGTTAGGTTTTGCATATGGAATTTCAATGACCAGAACAGGTTAAGAGCTATTAGATTTAGTTCCGGAATTTGTTCATAAAGCTTTAAAGTGCTTTGTGTAATTTGGTACAATAGAATTCTTCTGACAGCAATAACAGCGGTGGGCGATTTCACAACAATAATTTTAATATATATATACTTGCACTGAACGCATTAAGCAGTTATTAATTCGATAGGTTATGATCATCATTTACTTAACTAACGTAACTTAATTTTTGATTCAACATTTTTCAACGTTCTAATCAAATAGTCAGATAAATTTAAGCGCAAGGATTGCTCACATCTATTGAAATTGATGTCATTGGATGGCGTGGGTTTCTTCTGTTTAGTTCGTCGGTTCTTATAACTAGAAAATGTATATCAAGAAATAACTTGTGTTATAAAAATGAGCTGAACTCATGAGTAACAAGAAAAAGCCCGGAAGTAAATCTTAATAAACATTAGTAAATTATCTGAACTTACAATTTCACCAATTTCATATAATACATTATTTACGAATAATTAAATACAAGAATTATTTCCAAGACCACTGATGATGGGTATTTGGCAATACTCGAAACAGCTGTATGGTCAGCCAAAAATTCAATTAATTAAAATAATATAAAAAAAATAAATTTTTGTTGTTGTATTTCACTACTGTTCGAAGAAACCTCTTTATATAATACATATCTATTTATGCATATCTAACTTTAGTTTATCATTGCAAAAACCAAATATCGTCAAATATTGTAGTCAATTTACTATTTCTCATATTTCAAATCTTCTGATCAAATCTTTGCGATGACAAGCGGCTTTTGAAAATTATAATTTCCCCTTCTTTATTTCGCTAGTAAACCATAAATACGCTTAATAAAATATACTCTTTATGAATCCCAATCACTATCGTAATACCCAACATTTTTTACAAAGAACGAACATAATTTTTATTCTTACTCCTGGCTTAAAAAAATTCAGAAACAGAATTATTAAACACAATGAGATTTGAAAGTTTTAAATGATTCTAAACTTCTACTTCTAGTAAATATTATGATAGCTTAACTATTATTATTCTTACTTAAAATAATAAATACTTTCGAAATTATTAAAAGTATATACACATATCTATAAGTGATTTAAGTCTATTATCGGTCCCAGAAAACATCAACTAATGCTACGTTTACATTGTGAGATTAATCTCCACTGCTTACATCATACGGTAGAGTTCAATATCTTAATTTATCTATTTTGAAAAGTCCATATTAAAATAATCCAGGTAAATCGATTTTACTAAAAGAAACTCGCTAAGTACATATAGCTAAAATTATTTAAACACGATGAGAATTGAAAGTTTTAAACATTTGTATACTTCTATTATTAGTCAATGTAGTAATAGTTTAACCAGTATTATTCTTACTCAAAGTAAATACTTTACTTTATGAAAAGTATATACACATCTCTTCCAGTTTATCTATTTTATATCTATTTTCTATAATAATAGATCTATCATTAAATATATAATTCAAAAAATACGACGGAATTATAACTTTACTTATTATACCGAATTCATAAAATATAAACATTATATTGAAATGTTCAGAATCTGAAAAAAGTAAATAAAATTCGAATCTATGTACATCAGTCTTTTAATTTAGTATATATGAGTTTAATACTTTAGTAAATAAAACATCTTATAAACGTGCTAGAATAAAAGTCAAACACAAGCCATCAAAAGTAAGAAATTCAAAAGTAAGAAATTTGATAGTGATTTGATCGTTCCTGTTGAATAATAATTGTAATCCAAGGTTCTATTTGCATATTCAATCCAATTTTTATAGTATAAGACATTCGTGTAAACTCCTGGATATTGTTTGAGTCCACATTGATTACCCCATGATACTATGCCAGCTAAAACTCCATTGCACATAAGTGGACCACCTGAATCACCTTGACATGTATCTACACCACCTGTACTCATATTACCGGCACACAAACTACTCTGAGATAGATTCCCATAACTTTTAGCACAGACATCATTACCAACTATAGGCACACTTGCTGTTAATAATGTATCAGAAACTTGACCCTGAAATTGATTTTTATATTAATTTTATTTTTTTTTTTTGAGTAAATATTTAATTAAAGATAAACTAACATATTCCGTAGTAGCCCAACCGGTGATAGTGCAAGTCGTATTTTCTGTCAGTAGTTGACTGTTCAGTATAACTGATCGCACTGTAGGCCAAGTCCACGGTATGTAACCATTAATCAACATTAGCGCTATGTCATTGCTTAGAGATGTCAAGTTGAAGGCGCCATGCGGTACGATTTGTATTAAATTGTATTGTAAAGTGTAATTATCTTTGACATATAACGAATTACCACCCAAAACAATTGTATACTCTTTTGGTAAACGTTTCTTCGGTGGCGATACACTTAAACTGAAAATATATAAGTAAAAGATATCTCTTTTAAAATTATTAATAATTAACACACTCAACACTACACTGTGCTGCTGTTATAATCACACGTTGCGATAGCACAGAACCACTGCATAAATGTCCATATCCAAATCCACCAAGTTTTTCGTAAATTTTTAGACGTATGGACGCTTGGAAAGGTGCTTCAGTTATCGGTATTTTAACGCTGCCAATAATTTTCTGTTCGATTTTCTTTAAACTAGTATCATTTCGATTAATACTATCTATAGAAAAAAAATAATATATATGTTAAATTAAAATATTTAAAGTATAAAAAATAAGATATCGATATATATCTGAAAAAATTTAATAAATTTGTTTGTAATTTATTTTGAAATTATTGAAATATCTGATATACGCGCAAATGAAAAACTTATATTAAAAAAATCAGACACATTTTGTAGTATACTTAGCTTACCTAAGACAGTAACCTAGATAATATTTAGTTTGATGGACAACAGTCCTTATTTAGACGACTTGATAAGACGGTTAATTTGCGAGGTCTGCATAAGTCTACATGTAATAACACTTCTTAAAATATTAAATATTTCGCCATCAAAAAAATTATCAAAGATAACAGAGCTCAAAAGGTATAAAAATATAAACTAATTTCCTATGTACTATAGTACTATAATCACATTAGATAAATATACGTGTTTATCATAACAATGAAAAGCTTACTTGGTATTTTTACATAGTTTAAATATAATATTATAATTAAGTAATTCGAGTAATTAATCATAATTTCTTGAAAATTCAATTATAAAACTTTAATTTGTAAATAATATTTTTAATTGTTAAATGATTAAAATATAAATATCTTCTTTTTCGAGCAAAACTAATTAATCAATATTTTTACAAAAAAAAATTTTAATTTTACCTATATAATAAATATATATACCATATGTAAGTATAAGTGTGGTAATGTGGTATATAGTTTCCTGTCACAAGACCGTAGATTTAGAAAATAATTTGTTGATTTCAAAAAATAAAATAAAAATCATAATTTATTTATATGACTTTTTAATATTAATTTAGCTGCAGAATTACAAAACAAAGGAAAACGGGATTGCAATCTTCAAATATGAATAAAATTATCTTCTAATTAATTTGTCTCAAAACTTTATATTCATCATCATCATCATTAATGGCGCAACGATCCTGGTTGAATCTTAGCCTCCGTAAAACATTATATTAACCACAATTAAATGGATTTAATTACTTATTCCATTAAGTAAGTTTGTTATCGCATTAGAAATATAAAATCTAAATCTTAATAGTCTTCAATACTTATCTGATTTACTTAAGCGAAGCTGTGGGAATAATAGGAACCCTATAACATCTCCAACTAAGCAAAAATAAAAAACGATGAAGATTATCCACTCCATGCGTGCATAAATTGAAGAGCCAACCCAACACAACCCAACCTAACATAATCCAATATCTTTTTTTCAATTTCTTGGACTAAGGACTACTACATTCTGTACCTGGATATTAAGGGTTTTTCTTTTAGTAAAATTATGATAGTGTTTTTTTATTTTGGAAAGAGTTTTTTTATTTTATTTAAATCATCTAACCAATCATCCTCCAAGATAATTTATTCCATGTTTTTAACTAGAAACTAACTTTTTATATTTATGAAACTTTGGATTTTTTGAGTAGAGTATTAGTGCTGGTTTTTATTTCAGAGAAACAGTGTGTAACAACCAACCCCTCCAATATAAATTTTTAATTTTTTCTGGATTGTAGACTAATCTTCTGTTTTTGTGAATTTTTTGTAAAAAAAACATTATATATATTAGAATTTATTCACTCATACAATCACGCACGTACACTCTCATAATTATTTATACGAGTGTATAATTATTTTTAAAATAATTAACTTTAACAAAAAATATTAAATTGGAATAAAAAACTAAATAATCTAAAAATTATAAAATTAAAATATTTTTAAATTTCTAAAATATACACAAAAAAAAAGTTTAATTAATTTATATTATCATTATATTGAATACTATTGATGTCACGAGATAACTTCTTAACCTACAATTTTTTGTAGCTATAAATAGCAACTTACCTGAACCTTTATTGAAAAAGTATATAAATTAAAATACCGATTATTGCTATTTATTTAATTACTATACAATGAAAAAAAAAAAATAATACTGATTAAATTACACATTTAATTATTTTATTTATTTCCCACCACTTATGGCATTGAAAGCATTAGATTTCTGATTTGGTGTCATTTTATTATTTTATTATCAGTCATCTACAAGCAATGCTAAATAAATTTATTTTGAACCTGTATTAAATATATTTATGTATATACTTCTAAGACATATGTATATAAATATTTTGCGTAAATTGAAAATGAAATGTATTTTTTTTTGTATAACGTAAACGCTTTTCTAAGCTATATGAATGAAAAAATTAATTAAAGGCAATAATCTATTAATAAAAAAAGTCGCCGAAAAAAGGTTTCAGGGGACTTCAATAACGTGCGTATTTGTTTGAATATTTCTCAATTATATCATTAGTTTTTAATATTAAAAGTTTAATATTATAATATTTAAAGCATTCATTAAGTAAATAGGCCAAGCAGTTGATACTTTAAAAATTATATTACGTATATAAATCAGTTTCTACTGACAGTAGTTTATACCAAAACATCAAATACAGAATATAATATATAATATATTTTTTTAAAGATTAAAGTTTTTTAAAATTTAAAGAAACTATATATCAGCATATAAATTATGTTGAAATTTTATTTTACCAGTATTGGATTTTATTAAAATATGTCACGTTGACCATGTTATGTTCATGCTAAAAAAATAAGAACCTAGTTGAGAAAACGCATGATAACACAAGCATCAATTTTATCTCTCAGAACCAACTATGGACTATTGTACTATCCTTCTTTCCTGCCTTCCTTCCTTTCCTTAATATTGCTTCCATTTATAACTGTCCATACTATATTTGTTACACTATTTAGTCTTCCACATTAAAAAATTTACCTATTAGTATTAAGAAGTTAACCTCATTTATATCTTATCTGACCACTCGTTTTCTTCTATTTCAATATACTCAAAACCTCAACAATTAAACCCTAGTAATCATAATGTTTGAGCCCAGCATAAAGTTAGATATTTGGTGATTAAATCTTCCATTGTGTCATCTTCACAGTAGTATCTGTATTTGTTTGATTCTGAAATGTCTGGTTTATGTAAGTTGCGATTGCAGTTATAATTCAATGTAGTGTTTCTTATGAAAATACCAGATCCTATTAATTAAGTCACAACACGAACATTCCTCGCTCTAAAATTAGAATTCTATTGCCATGCAATGAAACCGCATAATATATCGAATAGTCATTTAATTCTGTATACCAAGGCTATATTACGGAATAGTACTGGTCCATTCTTACAACTCGGTAAGACGCTTATATCATAATTTTCTCCTCTCTCAAGAACAAGAACTTTTCAGGTGTGTACTAGCTCCAGTAGTTCAGACAAATTGGGCTTAGTCTGAGATCTATTAAAGAATAATATTATTTTGATGTTGTGTGAATTATTTCTCTTGATATTCTTCAAGCAACAACACTTTCCGATGTGTACATTATTATAATGAAAATCAAAGGGAAATGAGTAATTATGCATAAATAATATTTAAATAAAATATTATATATATATATAAATATACCATATGTAGTTAAAATAAAAGAATGTCAATTCAACTCCATTAGAATAAAATATTTTTTCCTTTCAAGTTTAAAAAGACGCTGAGCTGCTATATAATCAATATGATACATTTTTAAATTATAGCACTTGATCGATCACAGGATTAAAGAAGTTTTGGAGTGAGTTATAATGTTCAGCTGCTTGCATTTGGATCTTAGATAAGTATGGATACTGGTATTTAAAGTGATCAGATGTCTCTTGCTCGAATTTCTCTTGCACATGGGCAGGGCTATCTAAATTGTGTATTACCGTATAGTGGAGTGTTTCTGATAACTGACATTAACTGATGATTCTGATAACTGATGAACTATAATATTGTTTTAAAAAAAAAAATTCAAAGTATTGTTGTACTATTTAATATTCTTTTGCATTACACATAAAAAATTTAAAAAAAAAGCATAAAATATAAATGACTTTAATTTACTGTTTGCCACAAATTATTTGAATTTGACTAACTTTTAATTATTATATAATATCTGTTATAAATATTCAATATTCTAAATATATTTATAATTAATGGTTTTGTGAGGAACTTACTTATATTAGCGCATATCCCACACACCAAAGGATTAATAATATAGAAAAATAATATAATTTTACATATTAAATAAAATTTTATCCACATTTTATTTTATTTATTGATTTTTATTTTTAATATATTTTGTATCACATTTTTTTTAAATATATTATTATTTTAATTCTCTTTTAAAAAAATATATAAAATTCTACCACTTGTTTATCCTTATTAATTAATTTTCTATACCTCGGCCGTTATTGACCATTAATATTGACACATTAAGTTTTCACTGATTTAATACCACCAATAAAATTAAATCAAGTCTAAACGAACCAAAATTATTTATTTATCTTATCTCATTTCTTTATTCTTTATTTATTTGCACAAATACTTCAAATTGGATATCAGAAATCATTCAAAAATCAATACTAAATCAGTTTGTAATTTTCGTAATTATGCCAATCATCAGATAAACACAAGATAAACTCCAATTTACAAACAGATAAGATTACTTGTATACATACGTAATTATTTATGTAAAACTATAAATTCCTTATCAGACATTAATAGATAAAAAAACAATAATCCAAAAGTCAATAGTTTAAGGAAAAAACTTTTTATTTTAATTAACAATTTTGACCAGAGTCTAGCGTGACGTATGAGTAATCAGTCAAGGCGGGAAGTGGAGAATTTGCTCAAGTAATTGATATAAAACTAACCAATCATAGTAAAGGAAACGAATAAATTTTATTCATTAAAAAAATTTTAAAACTACTTAAGAAATCTTTAAAAAAAAGTTATATTATAATTTATTTTATTAAAGTCTCCACTCGATTCAAGCTAACTGAAAGGTTCAAAATAGCCAAGTCCCTTAAAACTCTTCTTTGAGATTCTTGATGGACAGCCATTATATACTGCAGCAACTAGCAAACAAACACAAAAGAGTTTGCTAGCTGCCTAGTCAATTGCAATTAATCCACATATAATATCACACGGACTGGATAAGAAATTTAATTCTGTATATCGGAGCATTATTCTAGAATTTGTGGACCCATAACTCAACTTCTAAGAGAAAATTAAATTGTAATAAAAATAAATAACTATTGACTTGATACTCTGGATTGGCGGAACTCGAAAAAGTTGATTTGTCTTATCAACTAGGTTATCTGATACACTACCTTGAGTTTATCTCAAGAGGAACAATATCGGTTTTGCTTGGTGACTGAGTATAACTGAAGTCATATATAATACTTATTCTTATACATATAATATTATATTACTATATATAGTAATATATATAGTTTTTATAACCCCGGCTTTGATTCTAGATCTGGGCCTGGAGCAGAATCTGTCACTGTTTAATATAGGAAACTCTTCAACGTCAAGAAAGGGTGTTCGTAAGGAGCTAAAACTGTTAACAGATTATGACAGACTTACGTTAATACTACGTTAATATATTACTAAGAGAAACTTATCTGAAGAAAAGCATTATCGGCATTGCTTAGAAGCAGATGTAAACTATAAACACATTCTTTATAACACCTCCACTTTGATCTATGTCAGAAGGAGAATATTAAATGATTATTTTCTAAATAAAAGATAAAATATCCTACCAAGATGAACTTATCTGAAGAAGACCATTATCGACGCTGATTAGAAGCAGATGTAAACTATAAGCATATTCTTTGCAACACCTCCACTTTGATCGATGCCAGAAGGAGAATATTAAATGAAAATTTTTTATATAAAAAATAAAATCGCAGATGAAAGATATCAGGATCATTATAGTCAAATATTCCTATTTGATATCAGGAAATCCTCAACACAAAAAATTTGGTTCATCCTAACAACTACGCTAAGCTGTTCCATCTCTGACGCGTTTCCCATGGCCTGCGTTATTATATAAACGAATTAGGCATATTTAAAAAGAGAAAAATATTCTTCTTTAGTTTTTATCTGGAAAACAAATCAGAACTATAGTCACATTCTTTGTAACATACTAGATTTGATTCTGATCAAGAAAACTTAAACGGAAACTTTTAATTCTGTCCAATATTAATAATTCATCGACAAGGAAGTTTTATTCGAAGGACTATGCATATTTTGTTCGAATAAAGTTGACTACTAGCACTAAAGATCTAACATTGTCACTGTGTTCCGCTTCACTGAAAGGCTATACCCATTTAGTTTCCAATCGCATAACGCAATAACTTGACATTCCCATGGAGCCATTCCATTTTATTCTTAAAATTTAATGCGTTGGATTGAATGTATCAAACTTGCAGAAAATTATGAAGATATTAATGAGTTTTATTTAAAAGTTTTTTTTTTTGTTAATCAGCCTACCCGCTTATAGAATGTGTAGGCTTAATTATTAATAAAGTCAAGAACCCTGACATTTTGTTGAAAACTATTTGATTTTGATTATAAAGTTCACGTTTTATTTAAATTTTTGATTTCTTCAGTTTTTTTATTTCTTTAAGAAAATTATGTGTATAGTATATATTTTATATAATACAAAAGAAAAAGGAATATATACATGTCCCAAGTACTTTCCTTAAGCACCACGTCCAGCAAGCAACCTTTTAATTTGAAGGTTCAATATATAAACTAATATTTAAACGAGAAATCGTATTACTAACAATAATAATATGAAATACTTTACTATCATACATTTTAAAAATATATCAATAATATTTACTACATTGACTTTACAATATTGAAACTTTCTTGTATTATTTAATACATATTTTAACCATGCAAAATATAATTATTTTTTGGAAGATAACTAAACCGATCAACTTACAAATAAAAATATTAGTGCTACAGTAATGCACAATAGATTATAACTATTTAGAAATCCTAAAGCCGCATTTCTATATTGAGTATAATCCAAAGTGGAATTAGCATGGACAATCCAAGCATAATAATTCGATATATTTGTAAAAATGGTGGGATACCCGTCATTTTTGTTACAAATCGCATTCCAATTAGTTATACCAACTAATGTGCCATTACAAACTAATGGTGCTCCAATGTCAGCTTGACAAGTAGCACCCGGTCCATACAAGCTCTCAGCACAAAAAGTATTTGCAGTACTATTTGCATAATATGTGGAACAGAAGGCATTATTTTCCAAACGCATTTTAGTCACTGCCAACACTGATGAAAGTGTGGTTATATTCTATAATAACATGTATTAAAAGTTAATAAACTAATAACAAAATATATAAAGATATTAACATACATTCGTTGATCTAGTCCAAGTTGTTAGGTTGCACTTTGTGCCGGTTTTTTGTTCCACTTTACTAAATTGTATAGGCATGATGACTGTGCTCTCTTTCGGTATATCTCCATTTATGAAAAGCAGCGCCAATTCGAAACCCGGGGTTGCGACAACCTTCATTACATCGTAACTTTGTGTGTGCATAGTTTTATCGTATAAATAAGATGAACCCATCACGATGAGAAGTTCCTTGCCAAGGTAATAATCACGGGGTGTCACATTTGGTCTAAAATTAATTTTTATGTTAGTAAAATTTATTGATCCTAAGTATTAAATAAAAAAAGTGTTTGTTTTACTTAACCACACATTGTCCAGATGTTATTATCACCCGCTGTGATATAATAGCTCCACCGCAAAGTTGACCATTCCCAAAGGACTTTTCCTCCAAAGCTTTGAGACGTATGGAAACCTGCCATGGTGCATTTGCTATTGATATTGGATCACCATTGTTGACTTTTTCTTTTATAATGAAATTTCCGTGTGTATTATCTGGGAATGAAGTCATTTTTAATGAGTTTTTAAATGTTTAGAGTTTTTAAAAGTCTTAACCCACTTGTATTTGCAGAAATTAAATATATATTGAGTTGACATAAATATATTAAAAATAATTTATGAAATAATTTTAGCATTTTTCCACTTTCTTGTATTACAGTTTCACACTAAATGAAAAACATTCGAACTATCACAAAATTTTTATCTTATCAGAGGCTGACTTATATTTTTATTAAGCATTCTTCATTAAATAAACAAAAACTTAATTCCACATAATATCAATATCGTATTAATATTGAATTAATCAAACTACAATAAAATATCTAAACGAAAATATTTACGAAGTATTTGAAAAATGTATTAAGGTCGGTTCTATACATATTTGTATGGAAATACCATAGTGTTTGTTTATAAAACTTTCTTACACATTTTTTCGCAAAAGAATTATGGACCTTTCCTACCACCTCATTGCCTTTCACCTCATTACCTTATATTACTCCACAAAAAATATATAATTAAATAAAAGAGGAGTTTTAAATACTATTTTTCATAATTAATTTTGCAATACAAAATTACGTAGCACTTATTTACTACCTTTATTGCCGGCTCTTTATTATCTTATCAAACCTCTTTTTGATATCTTAAGTTTAAGTTTTTTAAAACTTAAGTCCCTCGTGCTCATGCTCTTATTCTGCTAAACGCTAAATTCAGTTATGCGTTCCATTGTGACGCCATAGCTATGACCTCATAATTTGTTTAAATAGTTCACATTTCAGCATTTATTAATTAAATTAAAATATATATATATATATAATATATATAGATAATATATATAGTTTTTTCTATACATATTTAAGCATAGGAAGACATTTGGGTTTCTCTGATTATTGGTACCACCACCGAATTGTAATTGCAAAGAAAACAATCTGTCCAAAACTATTTAAATTCTAAATGCATTGGACATCCAAAAATTAAGTTGTCCAAGATGGTTGTAATTAGAAATTGGCATTTGTTAATCTAAGATGATGATGATTGAAAACAGAAATTGTGAAGCGAATAATCCATGTCTAAGCATTCAAAAAAATTGTCGCATAGTCACTCTGTCTAATACTATAGTGACTGCAAATAGAAATATATTATAGATTATTGCGACCAGCAGTGAATTTTAATTGCAAAGAAATTATTCTGTCCAAAATGCTTTGGACACCTGGACAAGCCGAAATTAAGTTGTTCAAAATGGTTATAAATAAAAATTAGCAGTCGATTCGATTTCCATTTAAGATGAAGATGATTGAACATGGAAATAGGGATCCTGAAAACTGACACCCAAGTATTTAAATTAATTGTTGCTTAATTAGTCTATTTCAGACGATGGTGACCGCAAATAGAAATTGGTTATCGATACATCGATGTCAAAGTATTCAAAATAATTGTCACATAATCAATTCGTATAAAATAATAGTGAGTGAAAAGAATTTGGATGCCAAAATTTAGACGTCCAAGTAATTAAAATAATTTTTAAAAAATTTATAAAAAGATGTCCCTAAGCCACCTAGAAATGAATCTAAAACTGATTTCAATTAAAACTGTCTTCAAACACTGAAACACCGATCTTTCGAGAATAGTTGTGACAAGAAATAAGCTTTCAATAAGGGGAACACAATCCGGTAATATTTAGATATGAATCTTTATAAACGATTTAATAGAGAATTCTTATACTTAGAAGCTTCGGTTGTGCTCTATGGAAATTTTTTACTATTCTAGATTGTAGCGACTATACTTTATTAATGCGGCCAGATGCTTTGCTAATTAAATTTTGAAAATTAATTGTATTCAATAAATACTTCTCTGATAATACCATCAGGAATAAAACATCTTGTAATATCAGTTAAAATACATTTTCCATTAACCTAGGTTGAGATTGCTTCTATATTTATTTGTCAAGCTGTACGATTTCTAATTTATTATCATATAATAATTTAATGGTCAGTAAACGTTCTCTATTAAGGTTTTAAGGTCACACTAGCCACAACTGTCATTGTTTTTCAACATTTTTGTAGAGTTCAAGAGTTTGAAGAATTTGTAGAATTTAATTTTAAATACAAAAATACAGCATACTGAAACGGTACAGTTCAATGGGTGAGCTCGGTATATATACATATATGTTACATATCAAAATCGCCAATCAGAAAAATGATGTAGATGTCTTTATATTAGAATCGGAGTTCGATCAATATTAATGCCAATGTCACACCATAATCGCACCTAATTTAAGTTAAGATTAACTTTAATTTTGAGCTGTTACGATACAACAGATCCATACATTATTATTGGCCAAAGCTTAATTCTTTCTGTTCATTTTCTGTTCTTCGATTTTCGTACCATATATGCTACTATTATCCTATAATATTTCTCTGTTTTTTATGTGTTCTAAATGGTATTTCCTACTGATATTATACTTAATAAACTTTACAAGCTCAATTTGACTGGCCCATTTACTGCATAAGACTTTTGGTCATTATTATTGATTTGTATACTCACATTCTTTTCTTGGAAAAATCATAACTTGATACCATATATTTTACATCTACGTCTATTAAATTTATTTTCACCATGCATAAGGTTATTCTGTGTACTTAACAAATTTATTAATTGCTAAATCCTGACAATTTATTAATTTTTATATTTGAAAAGAATTATAAATAATACTCTTAATTATATTTGTTCATATAAATAATTTTAATACTTCTTTTAATATCTTAACATTCTCTTTACAATAATAAATATATATGTATAATCTTCATATCAGATCTAAACACATACTACATATGATAACATTCCATAAGCTTTAAAAATATCTATTAGTTCTAGCTTTATAGAATTACATTAAAGAAGAATAAAAAAATAGAGCTCAGATACATAAAAACTTTTGTTTGTTGCCATATACTTGTGCTGCCACCACCATGATCATCATTTATAACACCACCAGGAGTGCTCAATTCATCTCTTTTAGTAGTACCTTCATCATGTGGTTTATTTGTAGTGAACACTGTAACTGTGGAAGCAGTTGTAGCAGTCGTGCTCGTAGAACTAACTGTAGTAGAAACCGTTGTGGTGGGATCTGCTGTAGTTGTTGGATCTGTAGTTGTTGGATCTGTAGTTGTCGGGTCTACAGTTGTCGAGTTTTTAGTAATTGGGTCGCTTATAGTGGAAGTTGTTTCTATTGTTGTGGAGTCTGTTGTACTATCAGTAGGAGTAGCAGTTGTAGTAATTGGAATAGTAACAGTAGAAGTTGTGGTAGGAGTTGTAGTAGGAGTTGTGGTAGGAGTTGTAGTAGGAGTTGTAATAGTAGTTGTGGTAGGAGTAGTAATAGAAGTTGTGGTAGGAGTTGTAGTAGGAGTTGTAGTAGAAGTTGTAGTTGAAGTTGTGATAGGAGTTGTAGTAGGAGTTGTAGTAGAAGTTGTAGTTGAAGTTGTTGTAGTAGTTGTTAATAATTGTGCAATGCCTGCTTCAATCCATTCTTGGTAATAAGAAACGTTTGTAAAAACACCAGGAAATGGTCCGACCAGATTACATCCATTACCCCACGACACTATGCCAGCTAATTGATTATTACAAATTAAGGGTGCTCCAGCGTAACCTTGACAAGAATTGACATTGCCATATAAGTTGTAGCCAGCACAAAGCATAGAGCTTGGCAAAGTGCTAAAATACTGTACTTTCGAAAAACTATATGAGCAAACGGAATTGCTAAGTACAGGAAGACTTGTTGAGACAGGGTTATAAATACCTGAGCTCTGTAAAGAACAATATTAAATAAAATAATTTTTAATAGAATATTGTAACAAACAATAAATATTTAAAAAAACATACACTTGAGATCGTATAACCAGTAGCTGTGCATTGTGTGTAATCTGCTATAGATAAGGTATTTAATGGAATAGCTTTAGCTGTTGACCAACTCGTTGGAATGCTACCGCTCAGTAATAGTAACCCAATATCATTAAGCAATGATGTAACATTAAATGCTTCATGTGGTAATATTTTTAAGACATTGTATTGCAACATTTGTGAAGAAATTGAATTTGCAAATCCCACAACAACCGAATACCAACTTGGTGGACGATAAATTGCAGGCATTGAAGTGCTACTACAGGTTTTTAAAAAATGTATTTTCATTAATAATAAACATTTCTATATAATAATTTTATGCAACTTACTTAGAAAGGCAACTAGCTCCTGATATAACAATACGCTGTGAGATAATTGTACCTACACAAGAATATCCTTTTCCATATCCCAGCTGCTGCTCAGAGGATTTAATATTTATTGATGCCAAAAATGAAGTGCTACTAGCTGCTAATACTTTGGGCTCAATGTCGATTGCTTCTAGGAAAAATTGATTTATTTATTTGTATAATTAAT